GAAAAGTGCAACAGTGAATGAATGGAAATCCAAAATTATTAGATATTTTTGTCATGATAGGTGTCCAGAGCGAAGGCTGCATAGTGGAGTGGATCTGGGGGGAGGGATTGTAAAACAACGAATGAATTTTTTTTCTTTTACTTTTCCAAGAGGGGAGTGTACTAGGGGGTAGGGTTGGGAGGGGAGAAAAGTGCAACAGTGAATGAATGGAAATCCAAAGTCTCTGTACATTTTCATTGACATTAATAATAAATCTAAAAAAAAAAAGAAAGAAAGAGACGCCAAAAAAAGTGCTGGGCGAAGTGTCAGGGTGCTGGCGCCCGGCTGATGAGCACTGGGCTGGGGTCATCGCACGGTCCAGCAGGGATGGACGCCGCCTCCTCCGCAAGTGCCCGCTCCGTCCCAGGCGCCCGCGATTACAGATTCCCCTGCAGGAGAAACCAAGCAGCGCCCCTCCGCCGGACCCCCCGACAGACCTCCACACCACAAGGGGGCACACTCGCCAAGCCGGCCCGGAACCACCGAGGTGGAAGCTGCGGGGCCGGAAGCACCTTCCCTCCGCGCTGATCCTCGAGTCTGCGTCCGCTCTAGCATGCGCGGAGGCTATCTCTCTATGGTCGTTGGTCCATCCAGGCCTCCCGACCCATCGACCCATCATCATACTCCTGCCCTGACTTGCCCACGACTCATAATTTAAGGTCGCAGGCTAGAGGGCTAAGTCGCTGGTCATGGGAGACGTGGAAGAAATCTGTATTCTTCGACCAGGCTCTGCCTGAAGGTCCATATTCATTGATGGATCCTCCAGCCACCTTACTGTGAGCTTGACTCAGACACAGAGATGGCTGGGCAGGCAGGTGCAGACGTGGGGAGACAAGACTGGACCACACCTTGCTGGAGACTTTCCCTCTTCTTGACTCACTAGCTTCACTGTCTTCCAGAGTGAGAGCCCCCCTATCTCCAGGCTTCCAGCCACCAGCACCCAGCTCCCCCAACACAAGTTGACCTGACCATGTCTTTCACTTAATTTCCACCTGAACTCTTCTCCATCTTTCCTCCCGTTCACCTGTCTTCATTAGATCATACGTTTTTCTCCCCATTTCACGGCGGCTGTCTTCATTTGATCATAAACTCTGGGAGGGCGTGGACTATTTTCATTCCACGGCTGCATTCCTGGGATCCAGCAATGTCTCTATAGTAGATGTGCAACAAACAACTATCAAATGTCTTAGATGAAGCAGCTCCAAAGAGAAAGAGCAGGAATGAATGGATTCTGGTTCTGGAAGGGACAAAGTTTATCTGAGTTTGGCCTAAAGTTCTGTCTCTGACTAGATTCTAAAGATGAGGAGAGGGATTGGCATTGACACCTCAATCGTTGTTCTGAGAAACGAGCTTCAAGGGAGCTAAGTGTGAATGTGTCCAGTTCCCAGTAAAGAGAAATTGTATTAAGTAAAAGGAGTTCGCTCAGAAGAGCATGTGGAAATTCTATTTGGTAGTAAGAGCTGGAGTCCTTTTTTGCAGGTCATGGGAAAGTTAAAGAGTAACTTATTGGTTTTTCAGAACTGGTTGAATTTAACTTGAACCTCACCTATAGCAAAACCACACTTAGCTGGCTGACAAGAGCATTGGAATCACAGCACACTTCCCCCCATGTTTCTTCTACAGAGGAGCTAGTGGGCTCAAACTGCCTGCATTTGGGTTGGCAGTGCAACTCCTTACACACCAAGCCACCAGAGTTCCCTATATTCTTTGGACAGTGAAATTTAGTCTTCACTTGAGGTTCACTTTGTACCCTTGTGTATGTGGAGGCAGGAACAAACATGTTTCTAACATGTCTCTGAACCTCAGCAA